GCTCGACCGATGTAGGACCACGCTCTCACAGAATACTAGCCTAAAATAGCAGCATAGTGCTGCTGTATTTCGTATGGTGAGTGTAGAGAATCGAAGACTTTAACTGAAAACGAGGCATTCCATCCTAGACCTCAGGGGTGACAACGCATGAGCATTTTTATTCCCAATCGAGGATAAATGTAGATGTCTATGGGCCACAACATCCACTTACCATCAGTTGGACTATGTGCTCTTTTGTCACCCTTATTCTACTAAAAAAAGTACACAAGCACTAACCATGACTAATATAGCGGAACATTTTATAAACACAAACACTGCGAAAAGGACGAACTACTATTTACAATTAATTTGGTAATGGTATTTGGAAATGATGTGAAACGTTCAGTGCACAAAAGATGACTAAAGTAAATTATCAATTCATCTCAACAAACTAGACACTTGAAAATGAAAATGGTAATCTTGCTCGATTAAAAAACTTTAATTATAGACACTCTATTAGCAGTTACAGTAAATTAACATCTTCAAACAAAGTAAGGCATCTCAACAAAATAAGGCAACTAACGACGTACCATTAAACAAAGACAATAAAAACACAAATAGCTCTATCAGCCATCGAGACGCTAGATTAACTGAACACGGCACGTGGTCTCCGCACTTGGAGGGAAATGGCTTTGTGAAGATCCAAAACATTTCAAACCTCCCCCGCCCTGCGCTGGAAGGCTTTTAATTTACCCTGTCCCGAGCTTTAGACTTTAGTTCTACGTGACGCTGCGTCGCGGATAGACGTGATATGTTTCTACACAGTTCACATGAACTTTCTGTTATGTCATTCGTAATTTTCCGAGAGTCGAGTTCCGTAGCTTGTTTATATTTAGTGTCTTCTCGGGGGTGGTGGTTGGTGCAGTGAAGTTCGATGATTCTGGTGAGATGGTGTGGGGGCCGGAAGCCAGGCGTGCTTCTATCACGCATCTATGCACAGCTTTATTGTGGCTGTTTATATGTTTCAACGGTAAGTTTTAGTCATAGTCATAGTCATAGTCTTTATTGCAATCAAATGGTTACAATAGATGTTATGTTTAAAAATAGTCCGCATTTGAACCCAGTTTGGGCGTAGCAATTATAAAAATATTAAATTATTATTTTTAAAGTACAATATTAGATTTTATTAATACATTACATTATTAGATTATATTATTTTAAAATTCTGTAAATTTAATTTAATTCATAATCACAATGTCAAGTAAAAAGTAATTATTATTATTATAAGTAAAAATACAATTAAGTAAAAAATAACAATTGAATAACAAAATTAAATCAAATTAGATAGGCACAGGCCTAAGTTGTCGACATAAATTAAATAATATTTGTATCAAAATATTCATTTAAATTATAGAAACATTTTTCAATTAAATATAACTTTAATTTGGATAAAAATAGTGTAGTATTCGTTAAATTTTTTATGTCATTTGGAAGGTTATTAAAAATTTTAACTGTCATACAGTAGGGACTAGAGCTATGCAAAGCAAGAGTAGATTTCGGCAATAGTAGCCTATTCTTATTTGGTCTAATTGAGTATTTGTAATTTGTTTCGCTTAATTTGGTAAATAGTTCTGGGTGGTTTTTTACAAATATGCATGTTTTCCAAATATAAATAGACATCAAAGTCAAAATTTTAAATTTTTGGAAGTGTGGCTTACAACTTTCTGGATTTTTTATGTTTGCCAAGATTCTTATAATTTTTTTTGCATTATAAATAATTGCTGTGCATCTTTACTATTTCCCCACAATATGACACCGTATGACAGCCACGAAGATGTGTATGCGTAATATGCTGACAGAGCGCTGGGGACATCTGTGCTTTTCTTTATTTCTCGTAATACGTAAGTGAATTTTGATAGCCTATTTTTTACTTTATTTATATGAGCTTTCCAGTTTATATGGGAGTCGATTTCCAGGCCTAACAAGTTGAAATTGTCAACAGTTCCTATAGGTATATTATTATAAGTAAAAGCGATATTTAGTGGTGGTCTTTTAACTGGTCGGAATTGCATAATTTTGGTTTTATTAAAATTAATTTCTAGGTTGTGATGTGTCAGCCAATTTGTAACTTGGTTCAATACTTGATTCAATGTATTATTTAAATTCTGGTCTTTTTTATGCGGAATAAGAATGGAAAAGTCATCAGCAAATATAATAGAGGTTTCAGTCAATACCCTAGGTAGTTCGTTTATATAAATAATAAATAGCAAACATCCCAAAACGCTGCCCTGGGGGATGGAGCAAGTAGTGTGGATTGCTTCAGATCTAACGTTGTATATTTCGCCAGCGTCATGATTATAATGCACTATCTCTACGTATTGTTTACGGTTTTCTAGGTAAGATTTAAACCATTTGTATGCCGTATCTCGTATACCAATGTCATATAGCTTCTGTAACAGTATTGGGTATTGTACTTTATCATAGGCTTTGGACATATCTAATAATATACCTACGGCGTATTTCCTTTTATTTAAAATATCAAGTACGTTTTGTATATATTTGTATACTGCCAGTGTCTTTGATCGTTTCTTCCTAAAGCCATTTTGTGAATTATCAAATAGTTTAAATTTTTCACAGAAAGCGTAAACTCTATTTGACATTGCCTTTTCGAATATTTTCGAGGATGTAGGTAACATTGCGATCGGTCTATAATTTGTAGTGTTTGCTTTTGTATCCTTTTTATGTATAGGTTTTACTATAGCAGTTTTTAATAAATCTGGAAACGTTCCTTCCGTAAAAGATTGGTTGATTAAAATACTAAATGGAAGAGTTAATGAATCAACACATTCTTTTATTAATTTAGGTGGTAATTCATCTATTCCATTACACTACTTTTATTTTTTAATTTATTGATAATGTTACTAGTTTCTTCCAAATTTATAGGACATAAAAACATAGTATTTAGGGTACTGGTATTTTTAAATAAATGTGTTTGTTGAGATGGTATGTTTGCTTGTGACACGTGGCCAACTGATGCAAAGAAATTATTAAATATATTAGCTACCCTTTTCGGTTCTGATACTTGTTGTTTGTCCACTAAAATTTCAATATTTTCTTTTATTTTGTTCGTTGTTTTATTAGTACGTTCCTTTATAATGGTCCACATACATTTTACCTTATTATCGGATTTTTTTATTCTATTTGCATAATCTATTTGTTTGGCTTTATTTACTGCCTTTTTCAATATTTTTGCAAATATTTTATAGTGTTTTTTTTAAATACGGGTTCTTTGTATACGAAGTTAGGGCTTTTAAATATCTTTTATTTTGACATGAAATTTTGAGGCCTTTCGTTATCCAACGGTTCTTTTTTCTTGCTCTTAAAGTAACGGTTCTTTTAGGAATGCATACATTTAGCAAATTTTGTAATATTTCATTAAATATATTATAGTTTTCGTTAAGGCTTCTTTCGACATTAAGTGAAAGCTGAGATTTAAATTCATTAAATGTTTTTCTCGTTAAAAATCGTTTTGTAATTACCCAAGGAATTGTTTTTTGTATTCTATTTTCGGTCTTTAAATTAATTATAATTCCTTTGTGATCAGAAAAACCTAAATCTGCAACATAAGCTTTTAACTCCGCTAAAGGGAAGTTAATAAAGATAAGATCTAAGCATGTGGCAGAGTTGCATGTAACACGAGTGGGTTCCCTTATTACTTGAATAAAATTATATTCTAGCATGAAATTTAACAGAAAGTTTGATTTTTGTGATTCCTCTAAAATATTCACGTTGAAGTCACCTCCAATTATAATTCGTTTTTTATCATGTTTTCTATTTAAATATTCTAATAACATTTTCATTTGTGTATAAAAAACTTCGCTCTCTCTATTATTCCAGTACAGACTAACAATAATAATATTTAATTTAGTAATTTCCACTGCACAAAATTCTGTTACATACTCAACTGAGAAACTGCTTATATCTATTAGTTCTATATACTGTAAATCATTTTTTAGAATGATACATACACCACCTACTGAGTAATTTTTATATAGGTCGCCACATGATAGTTTTGAAATACCACTAATTCTAGTTTAGAATTAGACAGCCAAGATTCCGAAATGCAAACTGCGTATGGTAGATTTTGGTCTAAATAGGTTTCCAGAAGATGGGTTTTATTGAATAAACTTTGCATATTTTGGAACAAAATATTCACATTATTAATCACGAAAAAAAGACTTTGGTGTTGAGTTTATGGTGTGGCTTGTTTCAGATACATCACAGTTACTGGGCATTGTCTTTTTATTATTTTTCTTATTAATATCATACGATAATTGGTGTAATAATGATTTTAAGTTTTGGAAAATTATTTTCATGCCAAGGTTATTCAATCTACCCAATGGTTTGCGTGTAATCATAACTTAGCTCAAGATTGGAATCTAATATAAATGCAAATTTATGAATTTGTACTTCTTTGTAGAGCAATGAATTAAATGTTTCGATCCTTTTATTATAAATTTGGTAGTATTTTCCTAATTTAAAGGTAGGTAAGCATAATATAACATTCGTATTTTTTATTTTCAACAATGACTCTCTTAATTCTTGAACACATTTTTTATAATTTTCGCTTCGTTTAAAATCTTCTTCACCTATTAGTAGTATACAGAAGTCATTTTTTGAAAGATTTTTTGCTTCACTACATAGATTGTCGAGAAGATTCATCATACCGACGTTAGATCTCAGAAAATGGCATATCTCATAGTTTTCATCAGCAAAAGTTGCTAATGCTATGTTAATGAATTTATTTACTTTTTCGCTAGAAAATATGCGTATTTTGCTGGTTTTATAATTTGTGTGCTCTTCATACTGATTTTTTATCGTTAGATCCGTAAGTCTATTGTTCAGTAAACAAATCTCTTCTCTTGCTTTTAGTAGTTGGTTTTGTAGTTCAATGCTCATGGTTTCAAGTTCTTTTATTTTAACAATATTTTCTTGATTACTTATCGTTCTCTTCGCCGGCGTTATATTTTTTCGATAAAATTTAACTGTTTTCCTTTCATGCGCTTAGGGGCCTTATTTTCAGTATTTAATAGTGTGTTGGGTGAACTGCAAATTGTCTCTAGCTGCTTAATTTTTAATTCGTAGTTTATAACTTTTTTCTCCAACATACTATTTTCGGCAAGTAATTTTTCGATTTCAGCATCAGCAGATCCTAATTTTTTTTCTAATTCTTTGTTTTTCTCTTTCAGTGTATATATGTAATCACTATAATCATTTTTACTTGGTTTAGGATCAATGTCAGGATAACTTCGATTCAACTTGACCGATTTGTTCATGCAATTTTCATCGTCAGTGTCGATTTCGTCTTCAGAGAGCGTTTCAAATGAGTTTTCAGTTGAAACATTTGCTATGATCCTGTTGCGCATTGTTACATTTTCTCTAGGTGAGGAAATATAATTTTTAGAAGGTACTGTAACCGAAGATATTGGTTTTTGAATATTTTTCTTTAAAGCCGTCCGACAATGGTTGCATTTCCATTTTTCTTTACTTTCTTTTTTCATTAAGCTGAATAAAGGATATGAAATATTTGCACATTCTAGGTCAAATATCTTATTACAAATTGAACATGTCATAGATTGTCTCTTTTTTACATTTTTATTACATTTTGCACAACTCTCCATCTTCAAGTGCCCTCTAGTGGCGGGCTATAGTACTGCTTTGTTGAATATATCTGATTCTAAACTCTGATTTATATCGAATGCAGCAGCAGCTGTTACAATCGGTCGCCGCCAGGTAACGCTATTTATTTGCTTATGGCAGTTTTTTCTGGTGTTTGTGTATAGGTGTCACTAGTGGTAGATATTCAATAACAGCGGATACACTAATATAATACTAACACTTGGTTTTGTTTACATTTGCTTCTTTTCTTATACTAATTTTGTAGTATTGCCGTTAGATGTCGCCTGCTTATCTTTTGATCGAATGAAGCTATAGTATATAAGATGGCGCTGTTAAGTTAAATATTTTAACGATTTGTTTTTAAATATTACTACTAGTCCATTTATGATTCTTCTTTGTTCCTATTTCACAATTCAAACACTTTTCATTATTTACACTTTACACTTTTTCATGTTACACTTAGCACTGTACGTGGGTTTTAAACACAAAAGTTTGTTTTATTGACGCGGGTTTTAAATTAGATTACATAAATGTTTCTTTTCATATGAGATAATTTTTTTGCTTTTTAATTCACAATCACTTAATATTTCTTTAAGATAACTTTTAAAGTAAAAAGGGGAACGAAATTATAGTTTAATATATTTTTAAACTTAAAATAACACGAGAGCTGATGTGAACTTGGCAAAGCGCCCTCTAACCTCCTGAACTTAGCAAAGCGCCCTCTAACCTCATAGTGTTTATAAGGGTCAAATTAAGTTTTGAAAGAGCCACGGTTATGTTTGGCCGACTCAGGTAATTTTATTAATTACACAATTGTCACTTTCATGCATTATTTATTAATACAAGTGAAAATTGCGAATTCTTTGCCTTTTATATTATAACGCGAAGTTTAGAATTTTTTGAAAATTTCAGGAATTGATTTTTGTAAAATGAAAGAATTGTTACTTCATTCATTATTCATACCGTAAAGCCTACAAAAAGTTAAAAAATCAACTAACGTAGCCAAGTTAAGACAAACATTTGACACGACAAATAACAGAATAAATATTTTAAATATAAATATTATTGCGTAAAGTTAGTTTTAAAATTTATTCCATATTTGTTCTAGTGCGTATTTCGAGAGTATGATAAATTAATTTTAATAATATTCATATTATTGGGAAACAAAATAAGTATTATTAACTATTTAAAATATTTAAGTATTTATTGAAATTTTGTATTTTTAATTGCTGGTTAACCTATGTATTATTAACAAGTCCAGTATTATTTAGGATAACTTTTTTGTGTTAACATAGATTAGAGTATTTATCATAATAAATATTATACGAAATATATCTGCTCATTAAAACCTTAAATTTTGCTTATTTTAAACGAATATCCATCTTCATACATTTCACTTAGGTATATATACAATACACAAAATTCAATACTCTTTTTTTATTATGTGTATTTGAGAGACAAAAATAAATAGAGCGACAGACAATTGTACAGACAATTTATATGTAAATTATAATTTTGTTAACATCTTGGTAAAATTATGTTAGATTTAAATGTTATCACGTAGTTAATCAAATTAGCTAGACTTTTATATATTAATTTTTTTGTCATTATATTCTTTATAATAAAAAAAAAACATAAATGTCCGCCTATCACTGGCCAAATAAATTAAGGATAAGGTTTTCCGTAACATACCTAGTAAAACTAAAATACAAAGCTACTCCATTGAGGCAGTCATTTTATAAATAAATTCCACAAACAACAGAAAGTCAGCTAGTTGGGAGCTTTCAAAATTTTGTAGATCTATGATAAATATTTATTTATTTAACCTCCTATTGCAGTACACCTTCAACGAGAGGTTACAAACCTAATGCCCTATGGCAGGTCTCTACCAAAATATTGCTATTTTTTTATAAGAAACAGCATACATATTTATTTAAAAAGTCCGAATAGATTAGTTCTAAGCGAATTTCCGAAGTCAGCTAAATATAGTACCTAAATTCTGTTTATCAATGTGTGTACGTATATACAACAAAATACCTGACGAAATTAAAACGCTATCTAATATGAACTTATTTAAAAATAGATTGCACCATTGATTAATTGACGAAAATATTTATGACATTGTAAACTACATTTGGACATTATAAAACATATAATTTAGACAAAAATGTTTAATTTGTTAATTTTAAATACTATATAGGTTATTTTGGTTGAAATGTAATTTGCATGCTATATTATTGTGGGCGACGCGCCTATAAGAATATTTCAATTTATTAGTTAACCGATTACGAATAGCTTCTAAAAAGCAAATTTTCAAGCAACAATATTCCGATAAGAAAATGCTTAGTTGAATCTTAAAGAAATATCGAATTAATGATATGAAGGTCTTGGGTTCGACTCCCAGGCCGGAATAGTTTGTCGTTTTCTTAGTAATATCTCTTAATAAATTCATATAGGGAATTTTTAAGATATAAATTATGTTACCGGATTTGTTCCCCGGTTGAAATCATCTTTCCAATAATGTTAATTTAAAGAAATATTAAAATAAAGTTAGAGACCAGGATTTGTTCCCCGGTCGAGATGATCGCTGTGCATAAGTAGAATTAATGGAAATTAATTGCATAAGTATTGTCTTATATGAGTTTTATATGTTTTGTATGAAAACAAACGCCTATTTTCTATGATTGATTTATGAAAACATTCACTTATATTGTTTGATGAGAAACATGATAACTGATAAGAATCTGATTAGAAATAGTTTTCAACGTTTGAGAATTGTGTAGAATCATTTATTCACCTAGTATTGTCGATATTAGACTTTCCATTTTTACTGATAGTCGATAGCCGTGCAAAAGTTAGTTGTTCAAATAGTATGAGTTCATAGATGCACGCTAGCCACGTACTTGGGAGGCCAAATATGTAGAAATTTAAATATTTTCAATTTCAGCAATTTATGTAAAAATGACTTGTAAAACATTTCAGATTGATTGTACGTGTAAAAGAGGTGAATTCTGTGTTATTTTATTTGAAAATTCCTGTGAATAAGTGAAATAATGATAGTTTTGTATAAGAAATTTGAAAGTGTTTTAATAGTGAAATGTATAGAGAAAATGTAAATTAAACTGTTGTATTGGTTAAGATATGTATAATTTCAAGTGGAAAACATTGTTTTAACTTTCCATGTTAAATATTTAAGAAATTTCAACTTTGAACATGTGAGTAAAATAAGCATATTTTGTTAAATAAATAAAAGGTTTTTTTGTGATATAAAAATGTCGTAGTATACTTATAAAGATAGCACAAAAAATATCGTAGTATAGATATTTTTTGTGCTATCTTTATAAGTAAATTGTATAAATGTATGTCTTATACAAATAAAGTTATTGAGTAAACCGTGAGAGAGTGATAGTACAAATTGATGTAATTGAGTTGCGCAAGCGCACAAATAGCGCGGCTCACTTTCGCGTATAGCTCTGGGGTAGCTCAGTAAACGAGTTTTCTTGCAATTCATTCGGGAATCCTTCGGGAATCGTTCGGGAAAAGTGCAAGACCAGCAGTCAATAAGAAGAAGAAAGAAAAAAGTGTAGGGAAGTGATAGGGAAAAGTAATTACTCTCTCACGGAACGGTTTGAAGATAATTGCTGTTTTATTCCCAAGGAATTCTTGCCTCAAAATAATACAGTCCACATCGAAGAATTAAGGCGGAGGGACCGGGACGACTTCGAAAGACCTGTAATCCCCGCCTGAACCTATTTTCTGAAAAGGAAGAGGTTATCGCCCTTGTGTGTTACTCCGTTGCGGAGATCACATACGTTGTTCCCGAACCCAAGCAAGCGTGCTCGGCATTTTCCTGTCGGACGATCGTGTCCGGCATTTCCTGTCAGACGACCGTGTCCGGCATTTCCTGTCGGGTCATCAGAGGGTGCAAGAAGAAGAAGCATCCACCGCTGCTGCTGCCAGGCGAGGGTGCTCGTGGGCACCTGAAGAAGAGGAAGAGGGCGCCTGGATGAGGCGTCACCGGCGACTGGGCGACGAAGCGCAGCATACATCCCGACCACCTAACGGTGCCAAACGGTCGGGCTCTGGCACAACACCTTCGGGTGGAGTAGTTCTCTCGAGCGAGACTGCGCTTGCACTACCGCTCGACTGTTTCGTCATATTCCTTGGTGGGACAGTTCCTAAACCTTTCCTCCATTCCATTCCTGCACGACTCCATCCCTGGACGGCTTACCTCGGTAGACCCCGTTCAGGATTGATAGGGCTGATAGGGCTGTTAGGGTGGCAGTAAGGTTGTAGGGTTGGGAGATAAATGGGGGGAGGGGTAGTGGGGTTAGGTTGGGGTGTATAAGGGTTGTAGGTAAGGGGTTGTAGGGACCGAAGGGACAGTTAGGGACCGTAGGCCAACAAGCACCCTCCTGCAAGATGAAGAAGGCACAAAACCAGACCGGGAGAAGCGAAGGAAGCAGGACAAGAACAGGGCTCTCAAGAAAGGCTAAAGAGGTGGAATCATCTGGAGCGACCACAGCTACTGCTTCGAGTGGAACAACTCCTTCAAGTGGAGCCACCACCGATACGTCCACATGCACGTGGGACTCAGGGGCGTCCATGGCAACGACAAGCAACAGGACAGACACCAGTGGTACGCAGGCCAGCACCGCACAACAATCCGTTATATCCAGGAGTGAAACGGTAGTCGAAAAAGTAGGTCAAAAGACCGAAGAAGCGGCAGTACTTGGGCACACTAGTG